CCTTGGCCCACCTGAGAGGGGCAGAATGTGGTCAGAAGCCTCCAACCTCACCTGGAGGTCGGGGTGAGCCTCTGCAGGTTTGCCCTCACCTGTAGCCTTTGATCTCAGGGTTGGCGGTGGCCATGCAGGTGAACACAACCCGCTCGCCCTCCTGCACCGTCTGCGGCTGGATGGACAGGGTGACAGTCGGGGGATCTGCAGGAAGGTGGGTGCAGCCACTGTGAGAGCTGAAGAGGGCTCAGCATGGCAGAGGGAAGGAGCAAGGGGAGAATCCCCCAGCCCAACACTGCATGGCACAGTGGGAAGGGAGAGCCCCAAAACTGCCACGTACACAGCAACCCTGCCCAGACAGGCGTCCAGCATCCCTGTCTGATGTGTGCACCCATCATCCATGCTAGATCTGGGTGTCCAGCATCCCTTCTAGACGCAGTCATCCAGCATCCCTGATGGATGTAGGCACCCAGCATCCCCAAGTCATAACTGGGTACCCATTATCTCCCATACATTTGGGTACCCAGCCCTATATAGATGTCAGCACCCTGCATCCCCAGCACAGTGGCTCGGCTGAGCAGTACCTTCCCGCAGCCTCCACTGGAGGTCGTTGTTCACCATGCAGTGCCTGCCCAGCCCCGCCTGCAGCGCGGTGAGCGTCCCCACCACGGGGCTGGGGTCCCCAGGATACCCCACAACAGCTCTTAGCTCTGCCCCAGTGCCACCCGCGTAACCACCCGGCCTCATCCCCTCCGTGCCCACGGCAGACTCACGATGCACGTTGAGCTTGACAAAGGTTTCCTTCCCAGCAGGGATGGCATCATTGGTGCTGCGGCAGGAGAAGATGCGCCCTATGTCCAGGTCGGTGGGGTTGATGGCCAGCAGGCTGGTGGTCGTCTCCCTCTTGCCGTCAGCCAGCACCTCCTGTCAGTGACAAGGGGACAATCCCAATCAGCTCCAGCTCCATGTGGGGATGCAGTGGGGCCGAGGGGCTGGCAGTACCGTGGTGGTGACGGCTCCGTCCTGCTGCAGCCCATCGCGGTACCAGATGATGGTGGCAGCGGGTTTGGCGCTGCGTGCCCGGCACGTCAGGTTGTAGGGGGTCCCTGCACGCAGCAGGATCTCGGGGGCTCCGTCGATGGTGGGGTCCTCGGGGGGGACTGCAGAAGGGACAGGGGATGAGATGCAGGCAGGGACATCGGAGACCTTCCCACGAGGTGAGGATTGGAAACACTTATTTCTTAGGGTTGGCTCCTGGGGGAAAGCGAGGGTGCCAAAAAGGGAACTGGGGAGCTTGGGGGGAGTGAGTTTGTACTGTGCTTGCAGTGATGGATGCGCTTGAAAGGGCCTGACTGTTTGCAAACAACCATGGGGAGCTGGCTGCAATGATGCAAATAGGAGCTGGGTGTCTGGTGGAGCTGTGTGGCTATAGGATGGGCAGCAATGGGAGGAGTAGCAGCTGTGGTGATGGGGGCCCCCAGCTAAGACCCCATACCTGGGCCCCTCTATCTGTGTACCCCCACCTGGAACCCTCCAGCTCTTCCCCATCTTGGCCTCAGTCTTGGGGAAGGGATGCAGGGGAACCCCCTGAGCTCAGGAGGGGTGAAGGTGGGCACCTTTTGTGCCAGGGGGGTCCCTGCATGGGGGCTGTGGGATGGGCAGAGTGTGCTGCTCAGCAGCCCAGCCACATCTCCTGCTTGCTTGCCTTTTATCCCCCTCCTTTCTAATGGGAATTTCAATGCCAGGGGAAGAAAGAGAAAATAAATAAATAAATAAGAAAAGCAAGAAATCCACCCCAAAACCCCATTCATGCAACATTTCCGCTGCGGCTCCGGCATCTTATCTTCTCCTTTTTTTTTTTTTTTTTTTTTTTTTTTTTTTTTTTTTTTTTAACAAGATACAAAAGTCAGGGAAATCAAAGTTACTGCACTCGTAGGTCCCGTAACTCAGCCACGGCGTGAATATAGATTAAGGCATTAAAGATAATGGCAGAGCCAGGCTGTGGGAGGGAGAGGAGGGAGCGGAACGGCGGCGGCAGCAGCATTCCCGCGCCTGCCCGGGGGGTTTGGGGGGGGGGTGGGAGGACCCAGGGGATCAGGGAGGGTTGGGGGGTTTGCTTCTTACTGAGCACGGTGAGTTTGGCCCGGCGTGAGCGCAGCGCAGCCTCGGTTGCCTGGCATTCATAGACGGCGTCGTCGGAGAGCTCAGCGTCGCTGATCTCCAGGTTGTACTGTCCTGAATCTGCCGTGCCCACGATGCGGTAACGTGGCCAGGCTGTGGGGACAGCAGGGTTGGCACCGAGGGGACGGAGATCCCGTGCTGCAGGGTGCTGTGTCCTCTGTGCCCTGCTTTCAACCCAAACTCCCCAGGGCTGGGGCTCGATCGGTGCCACGTGGGGCATGGGCAGGCAGTGTGGGTCCAGCTTGTGTGGCATGCTGAGGGGTCCTCAGTGTGCAGGGACCCGACTGCATGCAGGATCCCAATCTGACCCCCATCAAAATTCCAATGCAAGCAGAACCCCAGGATCAGCAGGACCCCAGTATATTAAGGACCCCAGTTTATTCAGGACCCCCAGCCACACAGGGATCCTGGGGCACGGAGGATTGAGGATCTGCAGAATCTGCAGGCACCTTCCTCTTTCCAGGATCTGCAGGATCCCCAATGCCAAGAGGGTCCTTGTGCAGTGCCATCCCCAGACCCAGCCTCTCCCCACCTACCTTTGAGGCCCTGCCCCATGCCCAATGCCAGCCCATCCTTGGTCCATTGCACGATCCCAGAGTAGTTGAGCACCACGCAGGACAGCACAATCCTCTGCCCGGCCACCACGGTCTGGTCCTCGGGCTCTTCCACAAACCGTGTCTGTGCCGCTGGGGACAGAGAATGGGGATTGGGGACAACCTGAGGATGTGCCACACGCTGCCCAGTGCTCCGTCGTGATGGTGGCATTGGTGTCCCCAGAGCTGTCCTCAGCCCCACAGGCCAAGTCCCTGTGGTGTATTGGCCATCACGTGGGCATCGACCAGAGTGTGTGTGTTACACTGTGTCACATGCATGTGGCTCTGTGTCACAGCTGTGTCACACAGCAGTGGCTGTGTGTCACACGTGTGCAGGGGGTTGGCTTGGGGACCAGGAAACCTCATTCTCTGCTTTGCTCAGTGGGACAAGGGACATCTCGCACCCCCAGGGTGGGAGGGGAGCACCTCTCCCCCACGCTCGCCTTCTCCCTCGTAAGCCTCCTGCTAAAATATTCAAATGATTTCCGCTGTGGAGTGGGAGAGGGGGAGGCAGAAATCCCTTCTGGGGATGAGCGAGCAGAAGATAACGGAGCTGCTAAGTCCCTGGCCCTGCCTCTGTCTGCACAGCCCCATCAGACCCGGCACGGCACAGCATGGAATGACATAACACGGCACGGCGCAGCATCCCCAAAACCCCAGGATGAGGCACCCCAAAGCTTCCAGGATGTGCTACCCCAGCACCAGGGGAAGGGGTACCCCCAGGCATGGAAAAGACACTGGAGACACTCGGATGTCCCTGCTTGGTGCCCACCCCCACCCCGTGACAGCGTTTTTGGAGAGGAGCAGGAGCAGGGACAGGAGGCAGGAGGGAGATAAAGGGAAGGAGAATGGGAAAGGCGAGGGGGGAGGGCTGAAGCTGGGGGGGATGAGAAGCAGAGCGGAGATCAAAGAGGAAGGTGCCTGGAGAGGTGGGCGCGGGGGAGGATGAGAGGTGGGGGAAGGAGGGAGCAGCGCGGGGTGGGGGTGGGGGGCACAGGCAGACAGACAGGCAGCAGAAACGCATCGGCTTGGGCACCACGGGGTGACAGGGAAGGACAGCATCACCACCCTGCCCCCCGTCCCCATCCCCACGGCTGTTTAGTCTGCAGCGGGGCGATGCGGGGGGGGGGGGTGGGGCGGGGGAGGGAGGCTCAGCCCCATCCCTCGGTGCGGATCCTCGACCCCGCGATAACGTAGCAGCCCCCGTATTCTCACCGAGCACCGGGCACAGCCCGCAGGGCACCGGGCAGGCACCCTGCCCTGCCCACCCGTGGGTGCCCGACACGCGTGGGCTCTGCAGGGACCGGGGTACCCAACCACACGCCCGGCTCTGTCTGCCTCTATTTATCAAATGAAGGTCTGATTAAGCCCTGGGGCTGGTGCTCCAATCTCCCTCTCTCTCCTCTCGCTATTAAACTCAGGGTTCAAAGAAAAGCTTTTTATTCGCGCTGACAGCTTTCAGATGGAGCTAAATCTCTCCGCGCTAGAGGTTTTTTTTTTATTATTTTTTTTTTATTATTATTTTATCTCTCTCCCTCCTCCCCTTCCTCTTCTCACCGCTTTTAAATTTAAGCCTTTCCCCCTTCCTCTTTCCAAGTTGTTCGCTTCTATTTATATTGGGGTGTGGGGGGGGAAATAAACCAGGAGAGAAAAGGAAAAAAAAAAAAGGAAAAAAAAAAAAAAAAAAAAAGAAACCCTCTGCGGGTTTTATTCTGCGGGAGAGAAAAGAGGATTTGGTGCCTTGTGGCCCTGGAACCAAGTGCAAAGGGAGAGGCACAAGGGGGCCATTGCCCTGTCCCCATCTGTGTCCCCATCCCCATTCATGTCCCCATCCCTGTCTCCGTCCCCATCCCCATCCCCATCCATGTCCCCATCCCTATTCCTGACCCCATCCCCATCCCCATTCATGTCCCCATCCCTGCCTCCATCCCCATCCCCATCCCCATTCATGTCCCCATCCCTGCCTCCGTCCCCATCCCCATCCCCATCCCCATCCCCATCCCCATCCTCATCCCCATCCCCATCCATGTCCCCATCCCTATTCCTGACCCCATCCCCATCCCCATTCATGTCCCCATCCCTGCCTCCATCCCCATCCCCATCCCCATCCCCATCCCCATCCCCATTCATGTCCCCATCCCTGCCTCCGTCCCCATCCCCATCCCCATCCCCATCCCCATCTCTGTTCCCATCCCCGTCTCTGACCCCATCCCTATTCCTGACCCCATCCCCATCCCTGTCTCCTCTCCCCCATGCTGTCACTGCGCTGTCACCGCCCGCAGCCACTTGTCACCCAGCACGAGGCAATGGGATGGAAAAAAGCGCAAGCGCTGCAGCTGGCCCCAAAATGCCCCACACGGAGCTGAGGCCACACTGTGAGGAAACCCAGGCTGAGGCTGAGCTCAGCCCCGAGCGATGTCACCGCGTCCCCAAGACCGGGGATGCGACCATGGCCTGCAGGTGCCATCCTGCCCAGGCGGGTGCTGTGCCTGGCGGGGACGCGGCGGCGGAGACGTGATCGAGGCTGGCACTTCCCCGTCCTCCCGCCCCATCTGCTGAGCGGGAGCTATTTTCAGCTCTGGCAATTTGGGGCTTTTTTGCTAAAGCTGGGCAGGGACGTGGGCTGGTAGCGGTGGCCTCAAGGACACAACCCCCAATGTGTCCCAGCAGAGAGAGGCACCCGGAGCCCTAAACCCAAGAAAGGAGCGGGGATAGGATGGGGGCTCTCTCTGTGTTTTGGGGATGCCTTCAGGCAGCTCACGCTGTGTCCCCACGTCACACAACGGCAGTGGGATGGGGATACGGGCACGATCCCAGCCCGGCAGAGCGCTGGCCTGCAGCTCACAGCCAGCAGAGTGGTATTTGCTCGAGAGGGTCCCCGTTGCCATCCACAATTTATGAAGCTGCTCCGCCACGATTACCGCAGCACGACAGCGCTGCCCGGCACGGCACGAGCTGCGCTCTCTGAAAGCATCTTGGCAGGAGGAGCCGCTTCCGCTCCGTGTTTGAAGTCACTCAATGCCCTCTTCTATTTTCTTCTCCTTCTTCCCCTTCGCTTAACGCTAAAGCGGCCAGAGGCGGGTGGAGGGGATGGGGACTCTGAGATGTGGCACGAAGATGTGGGGGACACAGCGTGGGGTCAGTGCCAGATGTACCATGTCGGGTCAAAGCCCCAACACGTCCCCTTGCTAGCTCCTTTATCAGCCCCGTGTCCAACCCCACCAAAACCCATCCAACCCCTTGGACAAACATCTCCTCTCTCTAATCCGTCTCTGATTGACATTAATTGAATATTACTACCTTTTAATTCCTCTGTAATTGAATCTCGCAGCGGCTACAACGCAACCCCCTGTGCCAGCATCCCTGCCCCCATCTCCATTCCCGATCCTATCCCCATCTTCAATCCCTCTCCCTGTCTCCACCCCCGTCCCCCTCACAGCTCCCTCCACTCCCGTCCCGCAGCATCGGAAACTATTTCTCTGCCACCCGATGACGGCAGCACAGCTCTGGCATTCGCCCAGCGCTGGGCTGGGAGGCACCAGGGCGATGGCAGGGATGAGGCTGCATCCTCCCGGCCGCTCACTGCCATCCCCAGGGGGGGTGGTGGCCCTGGGGTGTCCCCTGGCACAGGGTGGTGGGGGCCGCTCTGTGCCTCTCCCCCCCCTCCTTCCCTCTGCTGGTGGTGGCACAGCTCTCCAGGGAAGGGATGCTCCAGTTATTTTCATTTTTTTAAAAGGCGTAATTATAAAAACAAATGAGGAGGAGATGGGTTCCCCTCCTCCCCAACACCTTTGGGCATGTTGGGTCCCGGTTGTCCTCCCCATGCCCTGACCACCGTAACCTTGGTTGTGCCACCCCATGAGGCACACACTGGGGACATCGCCGCCTCGGGGACATCACAGCAGCTGGGGATATCAGCGCACTGGGGACATAGAATCACCTCCGTATCAGGGTGACATCAGTGTATTGGAGACATCTCCACATTGCTGATATATCCAGCGGGGGACATCACTGCACTGGGAATATCTCCACGATGGGGACACCTCTTCAAGGGGGACACCTCTGCTCCGGACTGGTTCTGTGCTCCTCTATGCAGAGGAGTGCCACCAGCTGTGCCAACACGCTGTATCCCCTCTCTGCTGCCCCCCGCCGCGTTCCCTCTGGCCGCCGAACGCCGCCGCGATTGCTTGTGACACCAATCTCACAACAAATTTAGCAGCTCATTTCCCGGCCGATCAAATATTCCACCTCGATTACCTTGCGGGCAGGAGACGGGCGGCACGCCGCCGCGCGGGTAGCCAGCACCTCCCGCCGTGTCACAGCCCATCAGTGTCACCAGCGCGGGGACGCCTGCGCCACCGGGGACAATGGGAGGAGGGCTGGGGGGGTGGACATGGCCCCATAAGCCTGCTGGCACCGTGATGGGGAAACTGAGGCACGGGGAAAGTGCGCAGAGAGTGGGGGGTCTCCAGTGTAGAAAGTGAGGCATAGGAAAAGTGTGCAGAGAAGGGGTCTCCCATGGGGAAACTGAGGCACAGGGATGGTGCTTGGAGAAGGGGTCCCCAATGAGGAAACAGAGGCGTAGGGACAAAGCATGGAGAGGGGGTCCCCAGTGGGGAAACTGAGGCATAGGAAGAGTGTGCAGAGAGGGGGTCCTGAATGGGGAAACTGAGGCACAGGGGCAGTGCATGGAGAGGGGGTCCTCAATGGAAAGGGGGTCCTCAATGGGGAAACTGAGGCATAGGAAGAGTGTGCAGAGAGGGGGTCTCCCATGGGGAAACTGAGGCACAGGGATGGTGCTTGGAGAAGGGGTCCCCAATGAGGAAACAGAGGCATAGGGACAAAGCATGGAGAGGGGGTCCCCAGTGGGGAAACTGAGGCATAGGAAGAGTGTGCAGAGAGGGGGTCTCCCATGGGGAAACTGAGGCACAGGGGCAGTGCATGGAGAGGGGGTCCTCAATGGAAAGGGGGTCCTCAATGGGGAAACTGAGGCATAGGAAGAGTGTGCAGAGAGGGGGTCTCCCATGGGGAAACTGAGGCACAGGGATGGTGCTTGGAGAAGGGGTCCCCAATGAGGAAACAGAGGCATAGGGACAAAGCATGGAGAGGGGGTCCCCAGTGGGGAAACTGAGGCATAGGAAGAGTGTGCAGAGAGGGGGTCTCCCATGGGGAAACTGAGGCACAGGGGCAGTGCATGGAGAGGGGGTCCTCAATGGAAAGGGAGTCCTCAATGGGGAAACTGAGGCATGGGAACAGTGCATGGAGAAGGGGTCCACCATGGGAAAACTGAGGTATAGAGTGCACAGAGAGGGGGCAAAGAATGGAGAAACTGAGCCATATAAACAGTGCATGGAGAGGGGGTCCTCAGTGGGGAAACTGAGGCACAGAGAGTGCATGGAGAAGGGGTCCCCAATGGAGAAACTGAGGCACAGGGACAGCACAAGGAGAAGGGGTGCCCAAGAAGCAGAGCAAAGGAAATATGTAAGGGCTGGCCCTGACACCCCATAAATGCCATCAGGGATGGGGATGAGGCAATGGCTCATAATCAGACACAGTGCTGGGAACATACGGAGCGATTTTCAATTAAACCCTCGTTGGGAAGAGGCATAAATACCAGGGGAGATGACGCGGTGGAATTGGGTTCTATTTTTCGTTCCCGAGGAGCCTTAAATATTCCCCACCTAATAATAATAATATAAAAAAAATGAACTCCCGACTTACGAAACAACATATAAATTCCCCTCGTAATTACATTACTTTCAGCGCGGCAAAGATGCCAATAAAATATAAACCAGCGTTGGGCAGGGAGAGGAGAAAATATAGAACCAAATAAATGAATTGCGTTATTGCATTATGGCAAATGAGCTGGGGGGGGGGGGAGTGGGGGCTCCACGTCCCTGTGGAGCCGCTGCTGTCCTCTCAGCTGCCTCTGTCCAGGGGGTTTTGCACCCCATAGGGACCTCTCATTTTTTCCCCATTAGAATCCCATTGGTTTCCCCATGGAAACCCCATTGCTATCCCACGGAACCCCATCGCTGCTGCTTGGGAATGCTGCTGCCGTCCCAAGAAAGATCCCATCCCATGGCTGCTCCTACAAAGATCCCACTGGAAGGCCTCTGGAGCCCCACTGCTGCCCCGTGGCATTCAATGCTGCATTCAGGGCTGATCCTGGCAGCACCCCAATGAAGGATTCCCATAGGAACCCCCCAGCCACCCCACAGGACCACCGTGTCCCCAAAATCCCTGAGCACAACCCCCCCCTCCATCCCCCCACGTGCCCTGGGGATCTTTACCCGCCCCACATGGAGGAGCCCCAGCACCATTCTTTGCCCTCATCCCCCTGAAAGGGGGCAGCCAGGCAGAAAGACAAAAGGCTGTGGGGCCAGGGGGTGCGGGCTGGGGGCTGCACGTCAGCACGGTGTGTGAGTGCACTTATCTGCTGGGACTGCACAGAGGTGCACATGTGGGTGTGCATCAGATGTGTGCTTGGTGTATATGCATGCACCACACGTGTGCTTGCACCAGAGTGCACACACGTGTGCGTGTGCACCAGATATTTGCTTGCACGTGAGCGTGCGCACCAACTATAATGACTGCACTGGAGAGTTCGTGCTTGCATGCAGCGGCTGCATGAGCGTGCACAGCAACCGGGTGCTTGCACAGGAGCGTGCATGTGTGCACATGCTCCAGCTGTGAGCTTGCACGGAACACCCACGTGCTGCAGGAGCTGAGAGTGCAAAGTATGCACGCGTGTGTGCATGTGTGTGCAGCCACGTGCACCCCAAGCCCAGCAGAGCCACGCAGCCTTCGAACCCCAGCTCCCTCCTCTTCCTCCTCACCCCTCCGCCACCCTTTGCACTGCCACCAAACAAAGCCCTGCACTGCAGCTGTGCCCCCCAACACAACCTGGGGTCACCCCCCCCCCCCCCAGGTCCTGGGGTACCCACAGCCCCCCACCCATGGGCACATAAAGCTGGCAGAGCTCTGCCCTCGTTATTTCCTCTTCATTTTTGGGGCTGTCAGAATTATGGAGCAGGGCTGTTTATTGGCTCGAGTTTAATTAATTTGTGTAATATCCCTGTTAGGAACAATGTCTAATTAAGACTTTTGTTTGTGTGTGTGCACGCTGGGGGGGAGGGGACTCCTTCTTTGGGAAAGGAGTGGGGGGTGGGGAGGGAGGGCAAAAAACATCCCCAATCATTAATGGAGGGGAGAAAATATTGAAATGGGGCTGGCAGCCTTCCACCGAGCTGCTGGTACGCGGGCTCGTTACAGATGTCTTAATGAGACATCTCCTAATAATGGGATTATTAGTCGCATTGAATCGGGACGAGCAGCTGTGAGCACCACTCGGTCATGGGGCACAGCAAGAGTGGCCGTGGGGGGGGGGCACAACCCCTGCCTCAGTTTCCCCCCACCGCTGTGGGGTGGATCTGGCAGCATGCAGCATTCAAACCTGGAGAAAGGGGCACTCGTTAAAGCCCTCATCTGGAAGGAAACGGTGTTGGGAGGGAATTGGTGGGCATGGGGCTGTGCTCTGTGCCCCCACGCCTGAAGCTGCAGGGACGAGGGGACCCCGGTGTGCCCCAGCTGCATGGACCTGTGTTCCCCACCTCCCTCTCACTTCCCCCCAAGTCCCCATGAGAAACCACACACAAGGAACCTCAGCCCTTCCTGACAACAACTCTGTGAGGATTTGGGGTCCCTGGGAGTGGTGGGGGTCTGCGGGGCACCTATGAGGTGGTGACACCAGGGGGTCCCATGGGCTTTGTGCCCACGGCACTGCAGCGGCTCAAGCCCTGAAGCTGGGGTCCCCATGGAGTTGGGGGAGGTGGGGATGGCACGAGGGGGGGGACCCTGCAACCCCCACCACGGCCCCGTGCAGGAGAAGCCGGAGCAGCGCTGGCTGCGCTCCTGCGGTCAGAGCCCAGCAATGATCCCACAAGCCTGGAATTTGAGGAATTTCCTGCCAAGGCTCTCTGGAAGACAGGGAGAGAAAGAAAAGCAGCGCTTAACCCTCGACTCCCTGCGCCCGGCCTCAATCCCACAGCGGTGGGGGATGCCAGCGGGGTGGGGAGCGCTCTTAGGAGGGCTCTGTTTTGGGGGTTCACTTCTTGCTGCCCCCTTCCCCCCCTCCTATCAGCTTCAGTCAAGCTGCAGAGCCGTTGCGGTTGTCTCTGAGGAAAACAGCTCCGTGCCTCAGTTTCCCCACTGCAGCAAGCACCCCTGGTAGAGGCCATCCCCTCCCCCTTGTCCCCAGCCTGTCCCCATGTCGGTCCAGAGGAACACAAGCGCCAGCCCCCTCTTCCTCCCCACCCCCTCCCCCCGCAGCCCCCAACCGCGTCCCGGTCCCCTCTCCCTCCCCCCTAAGGGCTTCAAGAGGTTGGGAAATCCCCGCACTACCGAGCCCAGCTCCGATCCGCGGTCCTGCACGCAAAAAGAAGGGGCGTTTGGTGAAGAGGAGGACTGAGCAGCGCGGAGCATTGCACGTCCCCGCTCCCCAGCACCACCAGCGGTGCCCTGCCAGTGGTGACACGCTCTGCCACGCTCCCCTTGCACACCCGAGTTGTGCTCCCTTCCACGTCCACACGGGCTCTTGCACACCCGGCTCCCTTGCACACTCGGCCCCGCTCCTTTTCTCCGCCGTTCCTATGGCAACCTCCGCATGGCACACAACCGCTCTCCGATTTGAAATAAAAGTTGTTTTTCCTCCCCTCCTCCTTTACTCCACTCTTTCGCTTTTCCCCCCCTCTCTTATTTTGATTTCCATTTGGATCATAATCCGCCCGTTGCCATGGCAGCGCTGGCAGCCCATTATGTTCCAGCCCTTGCAGAAAAGGCCCCGCTCCCGCTTTCCCTTCCCTTTTCCAAGGGGTTTGAGGAGCGAAACCCTCCTCACCGCAGGGCCAGCCCCTGCCACTGCTGTCCCCAAGCAGCCACAGTGCCCGGCTCTCATGTAGCACCACGACCGCATCCCATCCATCGCTCCCAGCTCTGCATCCCGCACCCGCATCCCCTTAACTCTGCCCATCCCAACATCCTCCTCCCCTGAACCTCTTTGGTCACCGCTGTGTCCCCAACACCCCAAGCGCAGGGACACCTCGGAGCTCATCACGGTGACATCCGGGTGGGTTTGCCACTTGGCCACCTGTGCCCAGGTGTTGCGTGCAGTGCTGCAGGGTGACACGAGGAGCCACGTGGCCAAAGCAGGACCATCCCCTGCCTCTGGTCCCTGCTTCTCTGTCTCCTGCCCCCTCACCTTGGTCCCCTGCCCGTGGTCCGTGCCCTTCAGTCCTCATCCCTCCCTTGGCCCCCAGTCCCTGCCTGCGCCGTGCCCACCCCTGGCTGGGAGCAGGAGGTTATGAAAATGAGCCGTGTGCCCAGGAGACTGTAATTATCTGGTAAGTGTGAAAGCTGGAGTGATTAATTAAGAGATAATAAAAAGAAAAGGAGGCTAGAGAGGGAATAACGGATGCTTTGATGATAAAACCTGAGGTAAGGCAAGCAATTAGGGGAATCTTTATGGAGAGTTAGCTATAATCCCCCTGCTGCAGCGTGGCGGGGGGCTGAGTGCCCATGGACAGAGCCACGGGCAGAGCCAGCAAGACCTCAGGGACGCTGCATCCACACAGGAATGGGCACCTGGGACACTGCTGGGACTCCTGGGAGGGTGGCAGCCCCATCTGACCCCACGGGGCGAGGTGGGTGCCAAAAGGATGCCCCTAAGGATGCGCTCGGCAAGGGGGGGGTGGGGGTGGGCACCATGGGTGCAGCCCAGGTGGGGTCACAGAGGCAAGAAAGCTGGCTTAGGATTAGATTGATCTCAAATGAAAGGCTGTGGATGTAATTAGTGGTGGGCAGCGGGTGGAGGGGCCAATGACCCCGATCTCACCTCCAAGAGGAGGACGGTTCGGTGCCAGAGGTCACAGCAGTTGGGTGGATGAACGGAGGGACAGACAGACAGACCTGGGGACCTTGAAGGAGTTGCTGGTGGCTGTTGTACCACGGCTGGCACTGGGGTAGGGATACTGCCTGCCCATGAAACTCAGCCCCAGGTGGGAGCAGCTGGCTCAGTACTGGCATGGGTGGCCCGGGCAAGCCCTGGCACAGTGTGGTGATGCCACGCAGGATCCATCCCACGGCCTCAAGGCTGCTATGGAGCCCTGTGGGGCCAGGGGAGCACTGGGGGTCATGATATTCTCCCATTAGATTCATCCCCTCCCCCTGCATTTAAGCCCCTTAATCCCAAGGTGCCCTGATCCCAATTTGCCCAATGGGTTTCTGAAGGGCACTGCGGGCACCCAGTGCCCTTGTGGAGGTGATGAGAACAGGGGCTGCCCCCAGGGCCCCCTCACTGTGCTCTGTTAGTGCCTCCCCTAAGATTCTATCTCCTCCCTGGGGTGCTCTGGGGACACGGTCGGGAGGGGACAGTGGGGACAGCCATAGTGACCTGGAGGGGATGCAGGAGACAGCAGACACAGCGCTCTGCGGGGGGGCAAAAGAGCACCACAGAGCCAACATCAGCTCTTCTGCTTTGTGAACATCCCAACACCTCCCAATCCGTGGAGGGGACGATGCCACGTGCTGGGGCATCCCCCAGCCTCAGGCCCAGGGCCACCCTCCTTTCCTGCTGCTTTCTCTGGGGCTTTTATTGCCCAGCAACACACAGCAGGCACCAGGGTATGGCATCGTGGCTCCAGCAGCATGTGGGGAACCGAGCCTGGATGAAAGATGGAGGGGGAGTGAGGGGGCACAAGCAGGCACTCACCACCATCCTCAGCAACCCCCTGAGCCCTCCCAGATGGCCGCATTTGGGGTGCAGCCACCTCACCCCACTCACAGCACAAGGTAGCAGCCCTGTGCTCTGCACCACGCATCCCTCCTGCCCCATACCCTGGAGATATGGGTGCTAATGGAGGAGGTGGGGGGGGTTCCTCCTTGGTGGTATCACCTTGGGGCACATACAGTGGGACCACAGCCTTCTGCCCACTCTCCCACACAACCACATCATCGCCCCAGACACAGGGGCCCACAGCATCCAGTCCCACTCCTGTCCATGGGGTGGATATACCAGGGTCCCCCATGGCACATGGGAGCCTCAGCCGCTGCCCCCAACCTCAGGTGAGCCCCAGCCTCAGCTGCCACATCTCCGCCGTTTCAGTTTCTCAGGGGAGGAGAAGGGAATGGAAGGGAAAAAGAAAAACACCAAAAAAACCAAAAGGAAAAAAAAAAAAAAAAAAAAACAACCAAAAAACAACCACTGAGAGAAAGAGAAGAAGAATCGCCCAGAAAATGAATAAATATTTCAATTTGAGGCGCAATCACAGCGAGTGATTGAAACGGGGGGAAGAATAATGGGTTTCATTTAGATAAGATACAGAAAATTATTTAGTGAGAAATGAAGAGTGATGAAACCCATTCAACATCTTTGTGAGAGCGAGTGGAACTCCATGAATGGCAGCGACCCCCCGGAACGCACATGCCTGGCACGGGGGGGAAGGGGAACGGAGGGGGGGGGGGGGGGCGCCAGGTTTGCCCCCTCATCTCCCTGCTCTGCTGCGGGACCGGGGGGGAGGAGCGGAATTTAGCAGTGCTGGGAGCACGGTGGGGCTCATAGTGGGACCGGAGAGGTGCGGTTATGTTGATGGGGTGCTGCCACCCCCATCCCCTCGCTGTCTCCCTCGGCACATGGCACAGAGCGGGAGCTCGGGCGCTTTTGTTCCTGGGAGGGCAGCGGA